GGGAGTGTGTGTCCAGTGTTGCCATAAGTTGGAGTTTTTCAGAAAAGGCCAGAGTTTACATTTTTATCTGACATTTCATGATTTTTAAATGTAATCAGTTAACTTGAATTTTTAAAAAGCACCATATGGAGCAAATATAGCTTGTTTGCCAAGTTGATAATGGCCCCTGGGCTCCAGATTGTAACCTCTGAGCGTCAAGGAGGACCCAGGTCAGGGATGTGGCTGGGCTATGCATGGAGTGGAGGGGACCCAGTCTGTGGGGTCTGGGGTGGGGTGGGGTGGGGGGGAGGATCTGACCAGAAAAATGGGAGAGGGCTCTTTGGATGGGATATGAACAAGACCATAGGGAAAGTTCTGACTTTGAGGCTACATGGGTCCCCGGACTCATCCCAGAGCTGGTCAATGGCCACAGCTTTAGAGGCTCGGAAGGGAATGTATTTTGGTTAAAGGCCAGGCTGATATGCTGATATTTAACTTGTATGCACTGACTCTACTGTACCAGTTTTGATAACAGTGGAATACTTTAAAACTGATTGGTAAATAGCCACCAGGCCGTCTGAGCCTCGTCTGCCACTCACCCCCTTCTTCCCCTCCAGCTCCCCACTCTCACCTCTCTATGGCCAGCACCCGAAGAGTTAACTCCCAGCACAGCTGAACCTGCTCTTCCTTCTGATTGGTCAGTAGGCAGTACCTGAGCCAAAGTGATTAGAAATATCTTGATGCTCCTCACTGGCTGCAGGTTATAGATGCCTACTCGGGTTGGCGTAATCACAGAGGACCCAGGGGACAGAGTCAGACGGAATTGGAGGACAGGATGCCAGGCCCCCGAGGGACCAGAACCAGGGCCTTCCCTCAGGTCATGTGGCCTTTTGTCTTTGTTCCTCTCTGTTCCTTGGAGCCCACTGTAAAAAAAAAAAAAGGCCACCTCAGCCCCGGAGCTGCATGACTCCTGGCTGCCTGTGTTCCATTCACTCAATGTGAGAGGCATTTGAGCCAAGTGCCTACCTCTGCACCTGACCACCTATGTCTGGGGAAGTAGGATGTCTCAAAGTGCAAACCCTCCCGTCTCAGAGATGGCGCTAGGCATGAGCAGGCATAGGCGGGCACCCTGAAAGTTTCTCCTTGTGGATCGTGGAGTCCCACAGCTGTGGGTTTATCTCAAGCTCTCCCAGGTGGCCGGAGGGTGGAGGACAGAAGTGGTCTGGGGATGGCCTGACTGGTGTGGGTGGTCTGAGGGATGGTGTGGCGTGTGGATGAAGTTGGTACTTATAACTGTGAGCCCTCCTGAAAGCTGAGGCCAGGCAGCGAGGTTGGAGGAGCCTCCACAGCCTCTAAATAAGCAAACTTTCCCCTGCAAATTGTCTAATTGGCCTTCCTTTCTCCTGTCCCCAAGCCATTGTCGGAAACAACATGTGCATTGCTCAGGCGCTCTCGGTGGTTAGCAGGGGTGATTAGAGCCCTGCAGCTGCCACCACAGCTTGCTAACCTCTTACTAGGTGCCAGCCACTGTGCAGAGTGTGCGGGGCGCCCTGGGCAAGTCACTGCACCCCTCGGCCCTCATCTGTGAAACGGGTAAAGTACACATTTCAGAGGGTAAAGTACACATTTCACATTTCTGTGTGGATTACATGAGTTAATGCCCAGTCAATCCCTGCAAAATAGTTCCTGGCATGAGTCAATGCTCAATAAATGCTAACTCTCACTCATTATTGAGCACCTTCTGTATGCTGTGTACAATATATGCCCGGAGCAAAATTCCCTTATGTTGCTTGCCGCTAAGCATTGGAAAGCAGAATTAAAGATGCCCTTGCAACACAGTGGTTAAATGCTCTGATGGGGGAGATCCCGGAGGGCAAGGTATTGGGTTTTCGTTTTATTTTGTTTTGTTTTTGGTTTCTTTCTGCCATTAGAATGTGCATTCAGTGAGAGCGGGCATTCTGTCTCCTTGCTCACAGTTGTATCCCGAATGCTTGGCATGACCCTGGCTCTCAGGAATCACTTGCTGGGGGAAGGAGTGAAGGAAGGAAGTGCTATTGTAGCTGGACCAGAAGAGTGGGGGCGCTAATGAAGTTGGGGAGCAGGGAGAGAAGCTTAGTGCATCCCAGCTTCGGAGCCAGGCAGACCCGGGTGTGAATCCCCGTGTTGCAGAGGGCCAGCTGGGTGACCTTGGGGAAAGTCTCACTCTCTAGCCTGGGCCCATTTCACTGGTGCTAAGATGGGAGTGAGTAACACCTTCCAAATGAAACAGCTTGCAGGCTGGAGAAAGTGCCCGTGAGATAGCCAGCATCTGCCTGGCACAGGGTGGCTCTCGGTACATGTTTCCTTTCCTGTCCATTCTTTGTGCCACCTCGCGTCTCCTCTTGTTGAAGAGACATGAAGAGACCAAGAAGGTTCTTGGTAATATCTAGTCAGAAATGCTCAAATCCTTCTCCCTGAGATACTCTAAGGAGAAGTATACGTGGAGGAAAGTGAAACCCAGCAAGGAAGCCACTTATTATTAGTTGAGATTTTGCCCCAGATCTCAAGGTCGAGCTCTTGAGGCCCTTGGAGACCCCCTTTTTGTATACTAGGTAGGCCTCAGGAAATTTAAACCGTAATCAAAATGAATTCGTAGCTTCTATAAGGTCAGCATATTGGGGAACGCAGAAGAGAGCACAAGAGCCAAGAAGAGAGAGAGAACTTGCCCCAGGGCTTGGGGGCAGAGCTGGCCCAGGCCACCCACTCCCAACCCTCTCAGCGCTAGATCACGGGATCTGCACCCACCCGCCTCCTGGGAGCTGAGAGAGCTACAGGATGGAAAGAGAAAGATGGCAGGTACACCTTTCCACACGTGTGCAAGCTCCGTCCACTGAGGCCTGGCCAATCAGTGTCTTGGAATCTGACCAACCAGATCTGTTCTTCCAAGCAAGCAGGGAGTGAGAGAAAGCCCTGAGCTCCCCCTACAGGCCAACACCGGTCACAAACAGGCGTTTCCTTGGAGCGTTTGAGGCAAGTATTTCTCAGCTCTAAGGTGAATGCCCCCAAAGTCTTCAGTGACTGGAGATGTTTTTGGTCAGGCCTATTAAGATATTTCCATGTTTTCATGCAGGAAAAATTCACCTTTTTTTAATGTACACTAAAATTCAGTACAGATTATCTATAGAATCTGTCAAGAAAAACACTCATCACTTGAATAGCACATAAAATAACATCTACTCATTGTGTCTTTTTATTTTCACTTGTTTATTTCCTGTCTGTTACAAGAATATCAGTTTTTAAAAAAATGTTTATGTTTATTTTTGAGAGGAAGAGAGATAGAGTATGAGCAGGAGAGGGGGAGAGAGAGAGAGAGAGAGAGGAAGACACAGAATCCAAAGCAGGCTCCAGGCTCTGAGTTGTCAGCACAGAGCCCAACGCGGGGCTCAAACCCATGAACCATGAGATTATGACATGAGCTGAAGTCAGACGCTTAACCGACTGAGCCACCCAGGTGCCCCACAAGAATGTCAGTTTTAAGAAGCCACCTGCATCTGTAAACTCATGATGAGCCCAAGGAATGAGGGAAGAGATGGGTAGCATATACCCAAGGATGCTGTGTCAGATGAGCCCTGGGTGGGAGCCCAGGGTCCAGGTTCTCACCTTCTGCAATACACCATTTCACGGGGAAAGCAGCTTTCCAGCTGGCTTTGGGGAAGAGAAGAAGGAGCTTTGTAGTGAGCGCAGTGATGGAAAAGCCACTCTTGAGGGAGACAGACAACGTGTGGAGCCAGAGGGCACGGATGAGTCCTGTGTACTGAGACCATAGTGTGTATTTGGGGACATGTGGGGTCACAAGGGAGATGTAGTAGTAATAACACAAGAGCTTATACTGCTTACAGTGTGCCAGGTGGTTCTAAGATCTCTACACAGATTAATCCATTTATTCGTCCCAATGGTCTAATAAGCGTATAGCATTATCATCACCTCCATTTTATAGACAAGGAAATGGAAGCACAGAGAGATTAAGTCACTTGCCTGAAGTCATACTGCTGAGAAGAACCCAGGTAGTTTATGCCCCAAAGTCTGTACCTTTAACCTCTGTACTCCACTGTCAGGTTGTGAAGGGCATGCTTGTTAGGGAACCAAATAAGCTGCTGTAACAAATATCCCCCAAATACAGGGGCTTAAACAAGACAGGAGGTAGGTTTTCTCTGAGGTGTCTGCCCAATGGGGCGAAATCCAAGGCCAGTAGTGTAATTTTATTCTTTCAACATGGGGCTCCAGGTTTGGGTCTGAGGTATTTGGTTCCAATGCCTCCTTCAGAGGAAAGGAGGAAAGGAGGAAAGGGGCCAGAGGAAAGGAGGCGTGTACACATTCTTTTAAAGGGATGTCTATCCCATTGGCCAGAACTTCGTCACACAGCCACACCAAAGCTGCCAGAGAGGCTGAGGAACGTGATCTCTAATTGGGTGGCCACGCTTTCTGCTCACACTTAAGGGCTCTGTTATTAAAGAATGGGCACTGTTGGAAAAACTAGCAGTCTGCTACAACCTACAGACTATTCACTGGACTCTGAACTCTGTTCTGTGGGTGATGAGGTATTAACAAATGGCCTTTAAGCAGGGAGGTTTTATCCTCAGACTTGGGTTTTAGATCACTCCAGATCGTTCTGGAAGCTTGCTCAGAGGATAAAGCGGGAAGAAACAGAATCCAGGGGATCAGGTTAAGGGTTAACTGTCTGCTGTCCCTGGAGGCCTTATTGCAGGCAAGAGTCACTGGGTCGGGCTCTTGACTGGAAGACTTAAAGCAGAATGTTCTGGGGCTGATGTGGGACCACCTGCTGCTATAGCCCTTCACTCATTCAACAGCTCTTTATTAAATGCACAGTCTGGGCACAGAGCTCTGGTGATGGGCCTAATGGGTGTGAGGAACTGGGGGCCAGTACAGTTCTTGGTGAGTTCTCCTGTGGCACTCGATGCCGTGTGAGTCCTGGGCACGCCACACTGACACTGGCCTCTCTTGTTTGTTTCTCTTGGCCTTAGGACCCCCGGAGCAAACACAAGTTTAAGATCCACACATACTCCAGCCCCACGTTTTGTGACCATTGCGGGTCACTGCTGTATGGACTCATCCACCAGGGGATGAAATGTGACAGTAAGTACATTTGCTCAGTGGCGGCTTCTCGTGACTGGGCTGCCTCCTCGTGGTTTGGAGCCTCCCAAGGCATGGGTGGGCTGGTGTACCAGTGTCTGTTGCTCAGTAATGAGCCTCTCACCCCCACATCTAGGGGCATTGAAGTTAGCGATGCTGGCTTCAGAGCCACTCCAGGTATGCAGTGTGGGCCCAGGCTCAGGGAGGAGAGACAAGCCCCACCTCCTCTGTCCCTCAGGCACCCGGGGTGGAAAGGGTTGGAGGAACTCTTCTAAAGAGACTGGGCCGGAGGGGTCCAGCCTGAGCCGCGCCCCTCTCTGCCCTCGCAGCCTGCATGATGAACGTGCACAAGCGCTGCGTGATGAACGTCCCCAGCCTGTGCGGCACGGACCACACGGAGCGCCGCGGCCGCATCTACATCCAGGCGCACATCGAGAGGGAAGTCCTCATCGTCGTCGGTAGGTGGCGCTGGCGCTCTGGCGCCTGCTCCTCGGGTCCCGTCTCTGTGTGGGTGCAGGGGAAGCTGGTGGAGGGATGGGCAGTGTCAGGGGCCAGAAGGGGACCGCGTGACCCTGCCTGCCTCCCTCCTCCCCGCTCCATCACAGTCCCTCCCTGCTCCAGGCATCCTTAGAAAGTGTACCCCCGCTTCCCGCTCTCAGCACGTGGGCTGGCTGGAGCTGGGCACGTCCCCACTCCCCTTCTCTCACTCTTTGTCCGTACAGAGTCCAGTTCTGTTTCCTTTAAAGTAGCCAGAAAGGAATGCTTGGTGCTTCCGCAGACTTTCCCAGTGGGAAAAATAGTCTTGGTGACAAACACCCAATTCGCGAGTGTAACAACTTGGGCAGGAGGAGGGACGCAGCGTGCATTGCTGGGGGCTTTCCACGTATTTGAAATATTTCTTTCTTAAACCTGACACTGGCTACACTGGTCCCTGTTCTGTTATTCCGTATACTTTTTGCACTTTTTTTAAAAAAATATTTTTATTTATTTTTAGGAGAGAGAGAGAGACAGCGTGAGCAGGGGAGGGTCAGAGAGAGAGGGAGACACAGAATCCGAAACAGGCTCCAGGCTCTGAGCTGTCAGCACAGAGCCCGACGCGGGGCTCGAACCCACGAACCGCGAGATCATGACCTAAGCGAAAGTCGGACGCTTAACCGACTAAGCCACCCAGGCGTGCCACTTTTTGCACTTCTGAAATATCTCATAGTGATAAGAGAGGGATAATATAGCCGCTTGGGGACGTGCAGGGGGACTGGGGGAAGACGGGGGCAGAGCACCTGTTGCTCCTGGACTGGAGCATTAGAGAAATAATTGGCTCTGACATGCGGAGCTCCAGCAAAATGGAAATCCAGCTGCGTGGAACTGGCAAATACTGAGCCGCAAAGCTACAGTAAAATGCACACAAGAACAGGACTAAAACTTGGGAGGAATTCTCTCTCAAAGCCTTGTGACACAAATTATAGACTTTATAACTAATCCGTACAAACCAGGTTCTATGACTTGGTAATTTAGGAAACCGATCACAGAAGGGATTGATTTTGCAAAAATTGGGTCTGCTCCTGAGGCCCCAAATTGGTTCAGCAGCTCTGATGTGTTGAGCCCTGAGGGGCTTCACTTAAATCGTGTAAAAATACCCCTGTAAACTACATCTCTGTTTTAAACTGAGGTTCATGATACCCAGTGAGCTCTTTAGAAACGTGCATTCCATTGAATTGCTTTCTCCTTTAAAAGGAAGGCAAGTGACTGATTTCTTCCCATCAGGATGTTTGGAGGAACCCCCGGAGAAGCATGCAGGCTCTGGAGAAGAGTGGTTTCCTCACTGTACTGTCTTAGCTTCCTGGTGCTGCAGTGTGGCAAAGTGAGACCCCGCTGCCCTCTAGTGTCCGCCTTTAGGAACTATCCCAGCTCAGATATGTCCCTGGGGCAGTCAACATTCGTGGAAAACATCGTATACGTGACCTGACTTAGTATAATGCCCTCAAAGTCCGTCCATTGTTCCCACCACAAAAAAAGGAAATGATAATTATGTGATCTGATAAGGGTGTTAGCTGATGCTATGGCAGTAATTATATCACAATATATAAATGTGTCAAATCAACACCTTGTATACAAACGTACATAGTGTTATATGCCAACCGTATTTCAGTAAAAAAGCCTTTCACATTATCTCTTTCATCTTCACAACACCATTGTGAAATATCTAGTATGTTCATTTTATGAATGAAGATAATTTAGAAGAGAAGTTAGGCTTGCAAGAACTTACACCATTAGTAATGACAACAATAATAAAGCAATAAGTAACTCTGGAATTTTTAAAAATGTGACCATCACTGTGCTCAGCACCTACAGGCAATATCTTGTTTACATTTCTGAGTAATTCTAATGAGCTAAGTAGGAGTATCATTCCACTCATCAGGAAATGGGCTTAGAAAGACACTTTATCATCTAGGTCTGGTAGACGCTCTAGTATAATTTACTAGGTTACTTTTCTTTTTAGTTTGGTTTGCCCCCCCCCCCCCATTTATTTCCTTTGTGGCTTTGCTAGGTTACCTCTTATGGGCATTTCTTGGGGAGTCTTTTTCTGATGTGGTACAGTATAGCATCCCTTCAAATTCAAGGTCAGAGTCTTCCTCTTTATTCACAGATCTGCTTGGCGGTATCTTGATCACAAGCTGACAATTCTCTGGCAATCCCACTGTGTGCCTATGAACCAGGGCTATATAGTTTCCTAGAGCTGCTGTACTGAAGTGCCACAAACTGGGTGGCTTGCAACAGTGGGAATTTATTCTCTAGCTGTTCTGAGGCCAGGAGTCTGAAATCAGTGTCAGCAGACTTCATTCTGGAGGGCTCTGAGGGAAAGTCTGTTCCATGCTTCACTCCTAGTTTCTGGTCGTTGCTGTCAATCTTCAGTCGTCCTTGGCTTGTAGATGCATCATTCCGGTCTCTGTCTTCATCATCACATGGCATTCTTCCCTGTGTGTCTGTGTCCAAGTTTCCTCTTCTTATAAGGACACTAGTCATTGGATTATAGCTACTCTAATCTAGTATGACCTCATTTTAACTTAACTACATTCACAAAGCCCTTATTTCCAAGTAAGGTCACACTCACAGATGCTGGACTTTTGTGTGTGGGGGTGGGGGGAGACACAATTCAACCCATAACAAGGGGAAAGGAGAGAAGTTGGGGCTCCCTTAAAGTCAGGGACAGAATATCTGCATGCTCAGCATTCTGATAATTGATTCATCAGCTACCAAAGTTTTCAGAGTTCTCTAAAAATAGAGATGAGATGGAGATTTTTGTTCCAGTGATTTATTGGGGCTGCTCACAGGAGAAGAGTGAGGACAGAGCAGGAAAAGCTAAGAGAATGGTCTCCATTGAAGACTAGCGTCAGCCTGATCCTCCCTCCCTGAGGCAAGGGTGCTGACCTATCGGGGCCTGTCTGTCGGGTCTGTCAGCGCTGTGGACTGCATTGGGTCCATCCCACCACCCATTCATATGTTGAAGCTCTGACTCAGTGGAATGGTATTTGGAGATAGGGCCTTTAGGAAGTAATTGGGGATTGCGGCAATCATAATGGTGAGGCTCTCTGATGAGATTAGTGGCTTAAGAAGAGGAAGAGAAATAGATTTCCCTCTCTCCATGTGAGGTCACAGTGACAAGGTGGCTGTCTACAAGCCAAGAAGTGGGCTCTCACCAGGAGCCGAATTGGTGTGCACCTGATATTGGACTTCCCAGCTACTAGAACTCTGAGGAATAAATATTTGTTGCTGTTGGGTTTTTTTTTTAATTTTTAAAAAATATTTATTCATTTTGAGAGAGAGAGAGAGAGAGTAGGGGAGGGGCAGAGAGAGAGGAGACACAGAATCCGAAGCAGGCTCCAGGCTCTGAGCTTCAGCACAGAGCCTGATGCGGGGCTTGAGCCCATGAACCCAAGCTGAAGCCGGATGCTTAATCGGCTGAGTAGCCAGGCGCTCCTTAAATGTTTGTTAAGTCACCTAGTGTGTGGTGTTCTGTTTTGGCAGCCTGAGCTTACTGGACAGTCAGTCTTTGCTGCAGGCTTGCTGGGGTTGGAGGTGGAAAGGTTGGTGTCCTCCTAACCTAGGTGGCTTCTGTGTGACTGCAGTGATTATCTGGACACAGAGGCACCAGTGGGCCCTTAATGGCCAACACTCACAGCAGCTGGGGGATGGGTGCATTGGCCACTGTGAAGGGTCCTAGATGCCCAGATGTCCCTCCTCTCTCACAAAATGATTGGGTCTTCAGGTCCTCCTGCCTGATCTCAGCCAAATAGATCAGAGAGAAAAGAACCCTATGGGGCAGATCATCCCACCTCCAGACTGTAGAGGTGCATTCAGTGTTAGGACCTTCCACTCCCTCACGTGGCCATTTCCCTCTGAATGTCACATGCTCTTCAGGAGTCCCATCATGTCCAGAGGCCAGGTGCTTGTGAAAGATCTGAAGGTTTCCTCATCTCCCATGGCTTCTGAAATCCAGGCTTGATGTCTGCTATCAGGGATCTTGCAGGTCAAGATCAGAATGGAAATCTGATCAGTTCTTTTTCTTTTAAAAACTGATTCGTGGCTTCTCATTGCCCTTAGGACAGAGAAATCTGATGTGGCGGCCTCATTCTCTCTTCTCTGTCTCTTCTGCTTTTCTTTTAACCCTTCATCCTCTCCAGGCTGCCCCCCTCCACCCCGCCACTGGACCTCTGCATCTTCTGTTCCCTTAGTTTGGAATGCTCATCTTTGCCCTCTCGTCTTCCCCGTGCAGGTAACTCTTCCCCTTCTCGTAGGCCTCAGTTCACCCTCACTGTCAGGGAAGCTTCCTCTGACCTCCCACTACACTAGACACTCATGGTATCCTGAACTTGAGTTTGTGTCAGGTGCAGTTTTGTGTTGGGGTGATTACGCCTACCTCTCCCACTGGGCTTGACGTTCCCATGAGAGTGGGACGGTGTCTGCGTTGGCTCACACTCTCCCCAGCACCTTGTGTGATGGACATTGCTAAATATTTGTGGCATCCACGGATGTATGCATGAATGACACACCACTAGAGGGTCCTGCTGGATGCTAGGGCTTCACAGATGACCCTCTAATCAGTGCCTCTTCAAGTGAGAAGCTGAAGTCCAGCAGATAACCCATTCCACATGCCTACTCTTCTAGGGAGGGAGACCACACAGAAACACGTAAGGACCACGTCCAAGGTAAATAGCAAGTATTACTGAGCCTGGGACCCACTCTTTGGAGCCATGATCACTGTCATGGCTGGACAATGCAGAAAAAATCCAGAGCAGTGGGACTTGTAGAATAATAGAAAACCATATAGACATTACGAGGCCAAGTATTATCGTGGAAGCAGGCAATGCAGTGTAGGAAGCCCCGATCAAAGTTGTGCAATGCTCTTGAGTTTATGAAGCCCAGGTTCTTATACATATCAACCCCCTTTCAATTCAATATC